GCTCGGGAGGGTGAAATCGTGGCCAAGAGGGGCGGGATCGGGCGGCAACCGGCCGGTGACGTGGGACTCAACGTGGGCGGAGTGGGGACTCGATTTGGCGCCAAAAATTGGGGAAAAGTGGGGGAAAATGTGGAGGAGTTGGAGGGGAACTGGTTTCACTCGGTTTGGGTGTGAGGGTGCGAGCGGGAGGGCGCTGGATTTGGCGGGACGTGGGCAGCAACCGCCGGCCATGGCGGCTTCGGCATTGGAAGCCGAAGGTAGGAGGAGGGCCTGACAGGTGGGGTCGCCGAGCCTACCTGTCGGGGAGGGAGAGAGGGAGGAGAACCCAGGGGGGTTATTTAGATTTTGCGCGAGGGGAAGGAAGATGGGTCGACGGCCCAAGGAGGAAGGAAGGAAGAAGGGAGGGGACGGGCCGCGGGGAGGGAAGGAGGGCTTTGGGCCGGAAGTGGCCCAAAGTGAAGGAGGGTAGATTTAATTGTTTTTCTTTTTATTAAATTGGTTAAATAAACTTTGTGCTATTCAAATTATTACTCGAGCTCCGAAAATTAATGGAAAATTTCACAGAGTATTTTAGGGCACAGAGAATATTACAAAATATTTCCGGCCAATGATTTTTAAAGTAAAATTTTATTTCTCCCAGTATTTCACTTGATTAAATTGCTTTAACTTTTATTTAGTTTCTAGAAAATGCATTATTTAATGATTTTTAATTCCCGAACAAAAATCGGGGCGTTACACCGCCCCAGTGCGTTGCCGTCCGCCGCCCGCCGCCCGCTCCCGCGCGCTGCCGTCACCCGCCGCCCGGTCCGCTGACACCAGCCGCCCGGGCGCCTCCACCTCCACCGCCACAGCCGGCCGTCCAAGCGCGTGCCCAAGTCGGCCATCCTCGCCGCACCCACCTCCACATGCCGCCGTCCACCGCCCGTCCTCGCGCGCCCCGCTACAGCCTCCCGCGCGCCGCCATCCGCCGCCCGTCCCGGCCGGGAGCGAGGTCCACCTCCGCCGTCGGCCACCGGAACGAGGTACACCTCCGCCACCGGTCGCCAGAGAGAGAGAGCCCAGGGGAATGATAGGAATTTGTTGAGTCTAAGGGATGACAGGTGGGCCCGAACATTTTTTTTTATTTGCTGACTGCACTGCCACGTTGGCGCCACGTGTGCAAGCTTAAGTCAAAACCACTCAAAATAGTGCTAAGGGGGTAATTTATCCGGTATGAATACTTGAAGGTGTAAAATGTCCGGTTTTGTGGTTCAGGGGGGTAATTCGGCCTACCACGATAGTTCGGGGGGGGTAATTCGTACTTTTTCCTTAATAATAATGTTAACTTTCTAAAATTTTGGTATTGTCAAAATTTAAAACGGTTTATTTTAGCAGTAATCTGCAGAATAGACCCTGCATAATTAAGTTCGTCAGTATACTACTCCCTCTGTCCCATAATATAAGGAGTTTTGAGTTTTTGCTTGTACTGTTTGACCACACGTCTTATTCAAAAAATTTGTGCAAATATAAAAAACGAAAAGTTGTGCTTAAAGTACTTTGGATAATAAAGTAAGCCAAAAAAAATAAATAATAATTTAAAAAATTTTGAATAAGATGAGTGGTCAAATAATATAAACAAAAACTCAAAATCTCCTGTATTATGGGGATGGAGGGAGTATATGTCTTTTATATTTGCAGACAAAGGAAGACCAGTTCATACGTCCTAGAGCTTCTAGAAATGTACAATCCGTGCTAGATTGTCCTGTACGTTCTAGATGTGGACAATACGTCCAGTCAGTCTGCATCTCAACGCAAAGCAAGTTGGACTAGAAAATTTTATTTGAAAAAAGTTTGACTAGAAAATCTTATTTAATATTCCCTTTTTCTCCAAAACGATCAGCAGAAGTATACCCCTAGAAAAGGAGCAAAAAATGAATTAAGAATAGAAAAAAACGGGGCAGTTTCTTAGGTGACCATTATACTAAGACAAATTATGATATAGGGCATTCAAAGTATGTGTAATATGCTAGTGGGTATCAAAAAAATGTATCATGGCTATATGACAACCAAAAAGTGGTAACTTGTGATATTTCTGACCTAATTAGAGAGAGGAATTCTTTAAAAAGAAAGATAAGAATGTCTTGGGGTTAGAAATTCTAACTTGATGCAAGAGTAAAGATGAAGTATGATGTGCGCTACTAGTGTACTTTGGGTGATGGTAGATTGAGAGTTGCATAATTTCAAAATTTTCACTGCATGATCAGGTTAGAAATTTGTGGTTTCAGAAGCATTCTTATCTTTTTAAATAATTTTTCTCTCTAATTGAGCTTGAAATGTCCTCTCGTAATTACCAATTTTTAGGTGTTTTTTAGCCTTAGCATGTTTTTTAATATCTATCAGCATATTACACAAATTTTGGATGACATGTAGCAAAATTTCTCTGAAATTAATTTGAAATTCCACTTTTCAAAGTAATGAAATGAGCTCAATTCATCTTTTTTTTTCCCAGTGTAAGTTGTTTTAGTTGCACTAACTCTTTTCTAAATGTAAGTCTTTCTTTAAGATCATCAACTCTTCTTCAAAAACATTAACTTCAATAAGTTAATGTGTTCTTGTTCTCACAAGTAAATCAGTAGAATGAATAAAGGGTTACAAAGTTGTGTTGTTTCCTCAATTATCATGCATAAATATAAGATGACTTAGGGTGTGTTTAGTTCACACCAAACTTCACTCCAACTCCCAACTTTCCATCACATCACATCACATCAAAACTTTCCAACACATATAAACTTCTAACTTTTTTTTTTAAACTACCAACTTTCCCCAAACTTCTTCCTAATTTCAGAAAAACACAGCCTTATACTTGCAATTAGTGAGAGTACGCACGTGATATGTTCCTACACTACTTATGTTAGTATACAGGTTTGTTAGAGTAGTCATTATTGACTTTGGCTATAGTCGTGTAGTACCATGTGCTTGACATCTAGAACCGTGGAATATATTTCTAGATTTGAAAACTTTTGTGTAGTTGAATAAAACTATAATAGATTAATAAGAGCATATATATATATATATATATATAGTAACTTGTGCTGTAGCTAGCGGTGGCTATTTGCTAATTTAGTCCCTATAGTTGGATCCTTAAATTTAGATTTATTTAGACTGAATTCTACAAAACTGCATACTTAATTAAGATGTTGTATCATAACTATGAATTTAGCGATAATTTATTACTAACTACATATTTAACGCAGAGTGCATATATAGCAAAACAACATATTCAATAATAATGAAACTATCACTGGACTTAAACTCCCAAATCTATAGATCTGTACTTCTAGTTTGGTGATAAATTTTGAGCTAATTCTATAATTTTGTAGTACAACACCCTAAATCTTTAGTGTTGTAATAGTTTGGTCAAAACATCAATAGTTTTGGAAATTTACTCATTTGTTTTTTTTTCCTGCACATCGGTAAGATGAATATATAGTATGAATTATGTCTTCTTGTAGTGTTCTCTGATCGTGATATATGGATTCTCGTTTGTTTTTCAAAACTAAAAAGGAAAATGGAATACAATTTTGGTTGTACAAAGCAGATAACGGTATTTTAGGCATTAATTAAGACAATATGTTCTGTTTTCAAAAACACGGGCCACATTTTACTTGATTCAGTCAATTTTTTTTACTACCTCCGTTCCAAAATAAGTGCAGCCATAGTTTTTCGCGCCCAACTTTAACCGTTCATCTTATTTAAAAAAAATTTGAAAAAATTTTAAAACATAAGTCATGAGTAAAGTACTATTCATATTTTATCATTTCATAACAACAAAAATGCTAATTATGAAAAAATTTCAAATAAGATAGATGATCAAAGATAGGCGTGAAAACTCATGGCTGCACTTATTTTGGGACGGAGGTAGTAGTGATTAGTATCTCTGTATGTTATATCTAATTAAGCATGTTTCTATCTCATCTATCTCCTCTTCTGATCAATTACTTTTAGTCTTAATTTCATTATAAAATTTGTATTATAAAATTTAGATTGTAATTATTGAAATTTGTAAAGTGATTTACGGCGGTGTAACATTTAAAATTCACAGTATAAAAACGATTTGATTGTTTTTTATTGGGAAAATATAGCGCCATTGCTGGTAAAAAAATATAGAAGTACTCTTTTGTGGGGGGAAAGAAAGAGACTTTTTTTTAGTATTAACTATTTTAAATTTCAAAAATAGATTAATATGATTTTTTAAAGTAACTTTCCTATAAAAAAAGTTTTGCAAAAAACACACCATTTAATAGTTCGGGAAACGTCACGCGGAGAACGAAACAAACAAACTCACAATCTCACCCTAGGTGCATAACTAACTGTTGACTAACAAGGATGACAAACATATACGGAAGAACTAGAACAAATGGTACCATGTAGAATAATCCGACTTCATCAACGACACACCGTATAAGCGATCGATAGAGCTATCTTTGGTCAAATGCATATGGCATGAGACTTTTGACACAGATCCATTAATTAATACTACCACGCATTTTTGGCCAATGGATGCACTGCCATGGCTACAGGCTTTAGTAACAAATTAACTGCTTGACCTTTTATTAGCCGACCTAGCCTTAGCAATCTTACTATCTCCGTTTTTAATAGATAATACCGTTAATTTTTTTTCACAGGTTTAACCATTCGTCTTAGTAAAAAGATTTATGTAATTATAATTTATTTTGTTGTGAATTGTTTTATAACTTAAAGTAATTTAAGAATGATTTATATCTTATACATTTACATAAAATTTTTGAATTGTATGATAAACATCTGTTCAAAAATCAATGGCTTCATCCATTACAAAATAGAGGGAGTATATCATAAAGTAGAGAGGAGGGCGCGCAAGCGCAACCAAGTCGCGACGTGTATGAAGTATGAACTAGATAGCAGCCTACCACGCCACCGCACGGTTAAAACCCATTTTTTTCTTGCTGCCGCTGCTGCTTCGGCTTCGCATCAGTAATCTTTGACCCGTCGCTCGCTCATTTCCTTGCGACCTTTGCCCACATTCTTCACGTTTTTACCTCCCCGCCCGCTACAAAACGCCTCTCCTCACCACGCCACGCCACGACACAACGATCTCCCTCTCGGCCTCCTGTGTCGCCCCGTCGGTATGAACTCCGAGCAGCCGCCGAGCATGGCGTCGTCGTTGATGGAGGCGACGGGCGACTCGGAGTCGGACGCGGCGGCGGTGGACCGCGGCAGCTGCCCTGCGGACGATGGCGACGCCGAGTCGTGCTGCGGGGGTGATCAGGATGGAGGCGGCGGGGCGGCGGCGGCTGGCTCCGTGGAGGCTTTGTCGTGGGAGCGCTGGATGCGGGAGTACTGCGCGGGCTACCAGCTGGTGGTGGCTGCGGACGACGGCAAGTGCGCCGCGCCGGCGACGGAGGATGATGTCGCCGCCGCCGGCGGCAGCGACGCCGAGAGTGACAGGCTCTTCTGGGAGGCGTGCATTGCTCACGGCTTCTAGCAAAGCTAACATGCCTCATCGATCGATTGATCGATCGAAGGAATGGAAGGCTCCATTTAATTGCTCTTCTGTTCTTCATTTCATCTTTTTTTACTACACACTTAATTATTTCTCAGTTGTACCGATGAGGGTTTGCTTTCACAAAAGAAAGGATCCAAAAGAGTTCATATATATGTTGTGAAGTTAATTCCAACTCTAGTATAGCATCAGTGTTTCATATTCTTTTCACGATCTCTTTTAGATTTATTTTAATGCTTTTGAAGATAATATTTTTTTATACTGGTGGGGATTCTTTACTTTTGATGATCGTAAAAAAATTAACCTGTGACCTTTGGATGCAATCGTGCAGTTTAAAAAATTGATTGATATTGATGATCCCCCTAATCACATATATACCAGATCTTTTTTTTTGTTTGCCGTTTCCATTGACATTGTCTCCAATGTGTATGATGTCTTATCATTACATTTTTATTCACATGCCTGGTCATAGAGATCATTAAAAATATAATTATATAGAAGTATTTTTCAGGACCAATCTACAATTATCATCTTTACTAATCAAAGTGCTTTAAGATTTCAAGGTTTAAGTTTATACATCTGAAATCTATACTTTCTATAAAGTTATAGCCCACAATTAAATAAATTATATATGATGTTGTAAATATTTGCATAACATTTTAACAAATCTATCTATTATTTTTATAATTTTTAACATATAATTATCAATATGTTTCATATAAAAGCACGGGTATCATTTGATTGTTTCATGATAAGTACTAATAAACTCTTATATTTCATTATTTGTGTTCCCTTTTTTACTCTGGTTGTCGAGAAAAAATATATTGAGAATTGCTAATTCCTGCAGTAAAGCGCGGGGAATTACCTAGTGACATCTATTTGTGAATCCTAAATATGTTTATACTTTTAAAACAACATTTTCAGATGTATAATTTTTAACTTTTCATCCAGATTATTACAAATCTACAATTAAAGCTATGTTCGCATTGCACTTTTTTTTCCTTTCTTTTTATAAAATTGGTAGGTTATTGTATATATTTTGCAAAATCACTGAGAATTGTTGTGTTGTTTAATGGACCTTACTTGGATTTGTTAATATATATGCCACCACACTTTAAAGGATGGTCGATCGTCACCTGTACATTTCACGACATTCTTATGATCCTAAGTTAAAATCGACGATATTACTATATATAAGCCGTTTATAAACCTAAGGAAAAGTTGTGCTGCTGGCAGATTGGTACCACAAAATCCACATGCAAGGACTGAAGGACCATCATCAACAAAAGTTCCATTGATCACGATTTCTGCCTTTTTTTTTTTCCCATGCAACTTTCCAACGCAAGTAGGCCTTGCAGATAATGAAATATGATCATGATCTAGATAAACATTATACAACGAGCCGCTTTACTAAAGAACAAAAGTTGCCCATTAAAAGCACTCCAATGCCTATGCGTCACGCCGGACTCCTGTGTCACCTCTCTCAGTGATCCGGGAGGCAAAGCCCGCCTCCCCAACCTCCCCAGCGCACGGTCGCCGGCCTCACGCCACCGGCAACGCTGCCACCTGCGGCGATGGCCGGTAGCAGCGACGCTCCCTCCCTTTCCTCCCTGCTTCTTCCTTTCCCCTTCTTCCTTCTCTCTATTTTTTCCCTTCCTCCCTTTCTCCAGATCTAAGGTGACCGGCGGCCTAGCCCTCCTCCCTACCCGGTGCTGGCGGCCTCTCGTCCCAGACCGGCGGCGAAGGCTGTGCGAGGGACGGCCTGATCTGACCACGTAGGTCTAGATCCGGCACCTCTCTGGTGGCTTCCGCACGTACTAGCGAGGCCGGTTGTAGAGTAGGTCGTCAACGGTGTGCAGGTGGTTGTGTGCATAGGAGAGGCACCTCCAGTGTGTTGGTGGTATTTGGTGGCTTCCGTTGGGGACGCTATGTTTGGATGGGACTTCGAGGTGAAAGCCTTACTCAGGTTTGCCGATGCTAGCAACGGCGACGCTCTCGGGCGCCGTTCACTTTCTTGAAGGCGTTATTATTGGAGCCCTTGTTCAACTCCACATCAAGAGATTTCTCCGGATGAAAACCATAAATTCGTTAGGGTCGGGCGATGTTGCCGTTCTGTCGGCGTGTCCTTGAAGGCTTCATTTTAGGAGCTTTTCCCTTGTTGGATGGTTATGCTTTGTTTAGGTTCAGTTTGTTAATACCAGGGTTTTTGCTGATTTTTCACAAATTAACTGAGCCATTGTAAGGCTTTTGGGTCCGATTTTTTTTATAAATTAGATCAACTCTCTTCTTCTACAGTGGAATCGCATAAACTCCCACCCGTTCCCTCGAAAAAAAGAGCACTCCAATGCATCATATCTATAACAATGTCTATATATCTTAATTTCTTACGTATACAGTAAATACATAGTACTCTACTACGTTCATCAAAAAAGTGCATATTATAAGTTGCTTTGAGCTTTTCGTAGTCAAACTTTTTTAAGATTAAAGAATGATTTAGCAACTTATAGATTTTTAAAAAAATTGTGCATGAAAAATTCAAAGTGACTTATAATATGAAATAAAAAATTGTGCATGAAAAATTATATGCATAATATTATAAATTTAGCACTATGTCTTACTGTAATATTTTCTCGAAAAAATCTTATTGTAATAAATCTATAGAAACAAATGATCAAAACAATACATAAAAAACTATGCACGAATGTTTTAGTTGAGTTATGAGAGTTGATGACCATACTTGGATATTTCCCTCATTTGAGGCTGAGGCCTACTTTTCTCGGTCACATGAACCCATAAAAAGTTTAGTTTATTATGAATACACCGTTGCAACACTGTTAACGACCAAATTTGGTAGTCCAAATATCGGATGTGAAGGAGGAATCGAGATGGAAATCGAGATAGAGATTGTCCCGGAAACAGAGTGAAGATCGGCTAAAGTCCAAATCGGCTACGACTAGGATCGACAGAGTTCGAGTTGGACGGGGTTAGCCGATTAAGCCGAATCCGACAATATGACACAGCATATGTTGTCGGTTTAGGTTGACGTGCTTCATGATGATTGCCACGCATGGATAGAGTCCTGAGAAGTCAATTGTATCTATTAATTAGGATATTTTATATAATTTCCTTAGAGATATGTTTGGGCAAAAGTCTACCGCAAAGACTTATGGTATCTTAGAGTTTGTTAGAGATAAGAGTCGTGTCCGATATGGACGTATTTTGTAATTCTCGGGTATAAATAGACCCGAGCCCCATGTAATCAAACGAACACACGTTCAATACAATCTCGGCGCATCGCCACCCATTTTACTTTCGTTTTGTTTCGACGAGTTCTTACTTTTGGGTTGAGCTGCATCAGTTTTGATCTTCAACAAGAGGTAAAACTTGTTATGGCGGCTTGCGTTCTCGGGATTAGTGCTTCTATCTTTATGACACTCTAATCTTGTTTATGTAATTCGTCGAGTTATCATATATCTTACGTAATCTCTAGCAATATCGTCATATAACCTACAATCGGCCAACATCTGCTAATAGAAGGCAGCCGATTAGGTTAAATACTGATGTTGATCTAGATTATATAGGATATCTACCACTCTATAAAACATCCAACGATTTGATTGTCTAGATACTGCCTTTCTTTTCATACTTATAGCTGCATCAGTTGAGTTTGATCTTATAAGTCGTGATTAGAATTTCAATCTCTAGCCTGTCTTTGGTTGCCAATTAGGGTTGTATTGGGGTTTCAGCCGATCTTATCTTATTTAACTATATTTATCTTATATGCTTTATTGACATGTTAAATCTGCCCTTTATGTTAAGATCCTGTTGCGCTAAAAGTATATTAGGCTTTCTGTTTGATATATTCTACTTGCATTAATATCTTAATATAGAGTGGTATCGGAGTATTAGCCGATACATGCTAGATCTATCTGACTGGCTATGCTATGAACATAGATAGTCTTGTTGTTGGTATATATTTCGATCTAAGTGATTTATACTGTCTCGGCATGGTGACCGATATGTCCCAATCACTTGATTTAAGTATATATCGACATAAGGATTATATATTGTTAATATCTACAGCCGATTGAGTAGATTTAGTTCTTTCTTATTTATTCATGACTGCCGATCGATGCATATATGACATCGGCTCAAAGATAAATGATTTGTCATCAGCATCCAGCCGATCGGCTATCTTTTATGGATTTAACCGTGGTTTCTTTGTCTTTATTTCTTGTTGATTGCAGGATCAAATCAACTGGCACGCTCACACACCCAAAGGCAAGTTTTGGACCTGCACTGGAGTTAAGCAGATCTCCCAGGCCTCGTGTTTTTACATCAACAAACACACAAGCATATAAATACTCCTATAGATTTATACTCATATTTCAAATATAATCTACAAGGTGCATGTGTGTCGGAGGGTGCACTCCTCAAGCGAGGGACAGTGAGGCCCCCCCTTGTTAGTTCGGCCGGGGGCAGTGGGTGAAAATCAAAGACTCGATGGAAGGTGTGACATAGAGGGGGTTGGGCCCCTCAGGAACGATGAGACAAAAGTGGTTTATACAAGTTCGGGCCGCTGCAAGCGTAATACCCTACTTATGTGTCTGGCTGATTGAGTGTAAGTTACAAATCACTTAAGTCGCTCAGACTCGAGTGTGAGTTCGCCCAAGAATCGATCTCTCCCCTCACCAGGCCTGGACCTCCTTTTATATCTCAAGGGGCTGCCACATGGGCCTAGAAAACTGCCTAGGGGAGAGCGAGGGCATTCACATTAAATGCATGTCTTGTTGCTTAACTTGGAAGCCACTCGCACGGGCGCTACGACATGGGGCCCGTCAAATCCAACTGCCTGACACGGGGGGCATCCGTGTCATTCATCATTAATGAGTGAAGACTTCTGGGTCTTTACTTGCACGGGGAAACGGAAACCCTGCTTTGACTAGGTGAGATGTACTGACTCCGGCTAAGCCTCTCATCATCACGACGTGACAGAGGCCGCATGACATGCAACCAGTGCGTAGACGCACTATCCCGATCCCATCGGTCATTCGACCGGTCAGGCGTACCACACGTTGCATTTAAGGTGGCGTGGTGCGCCCACTCACGCCTCCTTAAATGCGGTTAGGTGGGCTTTGGGGGCGCCCACCTAACCGCGCACAAGCGGCGTCATGCGAAGGGGGTCGGGGCAGCCCGACCCCCAAGCATGGAGGGGGCGAGGCGGTCGCCGCCCTACCACGGGCCCGACC